GACAACGCCTAAAAACATGCTTACTGTTGTTACAAATAACCTCACCTGAATAAAAATGATGACGAGCGAAGTAAAATTACATAGATATACAACTGCAACCAATTAATTTCCTTGTCGGTTGTCAACTGCCGCTTTCTCGCGGCCGTCGTCAGTTGTGGTGTATGGTGTGCACCCGACGCTTTCTCGTTTTTGAAGGGAGGGTATGTCAAAATGTGGACGGCAGTTATCATTTACCCATGCATCGTGCTGGAGTAAATTCAGGATCGAATCCCGCCCCAAGCAACCAGTCTAGCCATTAGGAACCCTAATGGAATGCATGGCGCACCCCTTAAGGCCCTATCCAAATCCCTAAAGCGATTATTATCTATGTAAATCTTGATTTTTACGCGTTCCAGAAATTCATAGCCATTTGTTTTGATGTGTATTTGAATAATTCCTTGTCTGCTTTAGGATGTTCTGTCTTCACGTGGGCTATCGGTCCTCTATTCGACAACAAATGGTACACAAGTGCTCGCTATCACACTGGCCATCAAAATTACCAAGTACTACCATCTTCCCACGCAAGAGTATGAAATCACTTTTCGGCAAACTGAAACACAAACTGAACGCACTGAAACTCGAACTGTTCAAACACAGGTGAGACCTTCACAACTTGTCCAAAATCCCAGGGAGAAAGAACTCGTGCATGGCGTAGTCCATGCTGCTCCTTATCAAGGTTGCCCAACATTTCGATTTAAGTATAGGTCAGAAGTAAAGTACACTCATGAGGAACAATTTTAGGACTTGGTTCGCGCCATGCACTATTGTCCTATACTAAATGATAGGAGTGATTGATTGCCCATGATTCCCTGATCTTGCATGCCTATTGCCTGAGAATTATCTCTTACAAGAATGGCTGAAAAGAAAGTGGATTCTCAATTCGTGATAGTGCGCTCTCCCACTGAAATTAACTGTGAGTAACTGTTGGGAAGCTGCGCCGCAATAAGTCACTATGCGACAACGCGCGCCTACGCGTCGCGAAGGAGCCCACTCGATTCACTGCGCCGTGACTACTTTCTAAACACCTGCATCAGAACACAAGCGCACTCAAAACCGCGGAACTCCAACCCATCGGGATTGGACTGTCACCTGTACATAGGACGTAGCCGACAAAAACCTGTGCAGGCCGTTCTCTTTGAATGTAGTGTCATGGCGTAATCGAAGGTGGTCGATTGATGCCTAATCCCTTTTTCTGTCCTGGAGAGAGTTCGCTGTCAAGCTAGATTTTAAAAACAGAGGCGGTATTACCGCGATTACCGCTTTGCACTTTTCCTTGAGTTCAGAAGTGAAGAGTTGATAGGTGCCGTTATCACTGGCAAAATCCGTGAACCAGACTTTGTCCACAACAAGTAAACCTTCCACCTCTTCGGGGTTGATCGACTGCTCAATCACTCCATAGGGGGTAACGTCATCGCATCGAACATTGGCTGATCCCTGCACTGCATAGGTAGCAGGGCTATCCAAGGGCTCTCATGGTCTCTAATGGATTTTAGATGCGCGGCATGACCGAAAGGATCGTTTACGCGTATCTCCTGTGTCTATTTTTCAAATTATCTTCTAATTTTTAGGTACATCGACGTCACTCGACAACCGCCTCAAACACAGAACTTCATTTGCTGTCGGTCTCCGAACTTGAAGATACGGTAGCTGCTGTTGTCTCTAAGTATTTGCAGCATCCTGTGCCACCAGCCCAACCTGAGCCAATGCCAATTGCTAAGCCATCGCGTCCTGCCCCTGACGAGGCAAAAGAAGCAGGGAAGCGTCTGAATGGAACACTGGGAAAGAATCTCGTGCCCCGCCTACAGAAACTGCGAGTGCTCGACCGAATGATCGGCGAACGAACAGCACTAGTGGAGCGATTTGATGCGGATTTTGTGAAGCAAGAGATTGCACGTAAAAGGACGTTCATCCTGAAGTGTCGAATGGCTAAGGAGGGCAAGAAGCCTCCCAAAAAGGCGGAATTGCCGGAACTTGCGCCACCGAAATTGCCCTCCAAAGCAACCCGTGAAGTAGCCACACAGTCCGAGAAGGCGGCAGTCTCGTCGGAAGTCTTCAACGACCTCGGAAACAGCATCTGAGAGCAATGAGGAATCAGAAGAATCTGAAGAGGCAGACGAGTCCACCGCCACGTCCACAGAAGAAGAGTCGACAAGCGAGAGCAGTACCTCATCGTCAAGAGAGACGGTCCTTGAGAATAAATTCTTCAACGGCGCATGGGGAGAAGCCATCAACCGGGAAAGACGACATGTAAGTTCTTAGGCATATTTTCTCCCAAAGAGAGACCATTTGATCAAAACTAGCATTTCAGAGTGCAAGAAACCACCGAGGAACCTCCAAAATCTCTCTCACCAACCTAGCCTCTACCTCAAACAGCTTCGGGAGAAAATTCTCAAAGAAGCGAATGGAGAAAATTTAGAACATATCCGAGAAAGGACAAGGCGAAGTGAGGACATACGCGCAGCGCGTGCGTGCGGTCGTGACGTGAGCGACGTGTGCTTATGAACTTGACTGTCATCAACCGTCATATGTTTCTCTGAGCGGCTTTCAGTACCGCCAAAACTATTTAAATCTAGTCTACAGGCAGATCAGTCCTAACAAATCGGCTTTCAATGAATTTATTTGATAACTATTTTGCAAATACTGGGATAAGTAAAACAAATAAGTGAAGTAAACAAAAACAATGACTCCTAAAGAAATTTAAAAGCTGTGGATAGCTTCGAGAAAAACTGACATTTCGAGAGGTTCGGTACTTGTCCGCCTGCCTACTACTAAACGGGATGGAGCAGGTGAAAATGCCTCATCCCGTACCGTGCCTTTAAGTCTGCAATTATGACATGATCCCGCCTTGGGAAATAAGGTATACATAGGTGCCAATACCTCAACCATTTGTTGTGATAATGTGAACAGAATAAACTATTTTTCTTGTTTTTCTTCGGAGCTGCTGATTTCGTCGGTTTTACTACATTTTAGGAATCAGAAATATTTACCGACTACATAATTGTAAATGAAGGATCAAATAGCAAATAAATAAGTTTTATGCGCGAAAAAACCGTGATATCATGACGCTACTGATCCACACCGTGGCGCTTCCACACCCAGTGCGATAAGCTCACCAGCACGAACCAAGAATACACTCCAATGCCACTAGGACTTTGAATGGGGGTCAAATGTGTGGCGCATCTCAAAATAGCCAAGCCCCGATGAAGCATTCAGTAAATATTCTCTTTATCCCTGAAATAATAAAGGGGCGGGGTCGGACGAGTTGTGCGAAGTTGTTTGCTCCATGGCTCCACTAACCGCACGTATTTGAAATAGCCGCTACGTCGTAATCCACGTTGCGTGTTATGAGGTGTGCGCGAGGTAACTCGTCCATGACTGCACACATTAGTCGCTAGCAGATACTTTGTAAGGCCCTAGCGTCACTGTCGCCCACTTTCGAGACGCAACTATGGCACATCCGTGATACTAGACTACTCTATCCTACTCACAGAGGAGAACCTTCAACACTACCTTATACTGGGTTGTTGCTTTGAGCATCTCATCTATGTCATGCCGATCTCATTGTCCGCACTGCTTCTCACCCTTGAATGAGCGCTCGTATGCTTTCGACAACTCTTACTACAGCTCAGTTCACAGCCTAGGCCGATGTCAGACTTTGCGAATCGCGCGATTCGCTAGCGTCTGCGGTCGCGTCGCGGCCAGTGAATCACTCAATTGGCTGGTACCGCAACGCGACCGCGGACGCTAGCGAATCGCTAGTAGCGAATCGCGCGATTCGCAAAGTCTGACATCGGCCAATAGTAGTCCCACCTAAACATTTTACTCCTACACTTCTCAAAAATTTTCTCATTTTCAATGTTTCTAAAACGTTTCTCTTCAAACATCGCCCAAGAATAGCGTGCGAGTTTCACCGGATACGACCCTTCCCTTTCCAAAAATCACAATTACGACCTTTCTCGTGGAACGTTTTCCATGTTCACACTGTTAGGGGAGTGAAGGGATCGAGGGAGATAGGACTAAAAACGCATTTGTGCCGCAAATAGCACCACTTACGACGTGCACGAATCCGAGTTCAATCCCGGATCGAATCATCCCAAGAAAACCGAGCCTTCCATCCTCCGTGTAGGCTATTCTTGACTGAATTCCTCTGAGTAGATGAACACCATAATATGCATATTGGTTGATCCATAAGTAGCGTTTTTTATTCCCTGGGTATGAGTTCACTTATGAGACAATATTCTCCTTCACCTCTTCTGGACGATGCAAGCAAAGATGTTTGCCACGTGGTTTCTGGGATGCCATTGGAACAGAGTTACCCTCCCCTTCAAAAGAACGAGAAAGCGTTCGGGTGCAGACCATACACCACAACTGACGACGGCCGCGAGAAAGCGGCAGTTGACAACCGACAAGGAAATTAATTGGTTGCAGTTGTATTCTATTAGCTATCTGTATAATTCTACTTCGCTCGTCATCAATTTATTCAGGTGAGTTATTTGTAACAACAGAACTCGACATATATATATAAAATTTGCGGAGCTCTCCATGACAGCATTCGATGGTAGCAGTGAAGTCATACAAACGCATGAAAAGCATGCCACTGTTGTTACAAAAAAGGCCATGATAAAAAATTGCGAGCGAGTAGAATCCAAATAGAAGAGATAGAATACAAGTGCAACGCACTTAATTTCCTTGCTCGTTGTTCAATAGCGCTTCTTGCGGCCGCGTCAATTGTATGTATGGTGTGCACCCAACGATTTCTCGTTTTTGAAGTTCAGGGTATGTATAAAATGTGGACGCCAGTTGTCATTTTACCCCGTGCATGGTGCTGGAATAAATTCAGGATCGAATCCCGACCCAAGCAACCAGTCCCCATTAGGAACCCTAATGGAATGCATGGCGCACCCCTTAAGGCCCTATCCAAATCCCTAAAGCGATTATTATCTATGTAAATCTTGATTTTTACGCGTTCCAGAAATTCGTAGTCAATTGTTTTGATGTGTATTTGAATAATTTCTTGTCTGCTTTAGGATGTTCTTTCTTCACGTGGGCTATCGGTCCTCTATTCGACAACAAATGGTACACAAGTGCTCGCTATCACACTGGCCATCAAAATTACCAAGTACTACCATCTTCCCACGCAAGAGTATGAAATCACTTTTCGGCAAACTGAAACACAAACTGAACGCACTGAAACTCCGAACTGTTCAACAACAGGTGAGACCTTACACAACTTGCACTCAAAATTCAAGGGAAAAAACGCGTGCATGGCGTAATCCATGCTGCTTTTTATTGAGATTGCCTAACGTTTCGATTTCTATATAGGTCAAAAATCGAATTACACTCATGAGGAACAATGTTGGGTAGATGGGCTTGGGTTCGCGCCATGCACCACCGTCCTAAACTGAACGGTAGAAGTGATTGATTGTCCATAAATTCTGTGATGCTGCATTGTATGTATGCTTTTTGCCAGTAAATTACCTTTTACAAGGATGGTTAAAAAAACAGACTGAATTTTCAGTTCATGCTAAAGCGTTTCCCCATTGGAATTGACTATAAGTAACTGCTGGGAAGCTGTGCCACAAGAAGTCACAGCGCGATAACGGCGGCTACGCCGCGCGGCAGAAGCCCTCCCTTTCGTCCGTGGCCATGCTGCTTTCTACACCCAGCATCAGGACACAACGCACTCAAACCGCGGAACTTCAAACATTCGCGATTGGTTTGCCACCGTGTACATAGGACGTAGCCGACGAAAACCTGTGCAGGCCAATGTAGTGTGCATGGCGCAATCGAAGGCGGTCGATGGATGCCTAATCTCTTTTCTTCCTCTGCAGAAAAGTTCGCTGTGAGCGAAAACAAAGGCGGTATCACCGCAATTACCGCCTTGTACTTTTCCTCGTGGTCAGAAGCGAAGAGCTCATAAGCGCCGTCATCAGGCGCATACCCGTGACAGGATCTGTTCCACAGAACCAATTCTTCCATTTCGTCGACGTCAATCAGCCGCTCTAATTCCTCTAATATTGGGGTAATTCTGCGCACTGAACATTGGCTGATCCCTGTACCGCATGGGTTGCAGGACCATTCAAGGACTCTCGTACTCCCTAGTAGGTACAAATGCGCGGCGGTGACCCAAAGGATCGTTTACGCATAACCCCGCGTTTCAATTTTTCAAAATTTTATCTTCTAATTTTTTTAGTACAGTCGACGTCATTCGATCAACCCGCCTCAAACATGAACCTTCCACTTGCTGTCCGTGTCCGAACTCGAAGATACGGTAGCTGCTGTTGTCTCTCAGTACTTGCAGCATCCTGTGCCACCAGCCCAACCTGAACCAGTGTCAACTGCTAAGCCATCGCGTCTTGCCCCTGAGGAGGCGAAGAAAGCAGGGAAGCCTCTAAATGGAACCCTGGGAAGAATCTGTGCCTTCGAACCCTACAGAAACTGCGAGTCCTCGACCGAATGATCGGCGAACGAACAGCACTAGTGGAGCGATTTGATGCGGATTTCGTGAAGCAGGAGATTGCACGTAAAACGCGTTTATTTTGAAGTGTCGAATGGCTAAAGAAGGCAAGGTTCTTCCCAAAAAGGCGGAACCTCCGAAGCCGAAGCTCCCCTCTAAAGCAACCCGCGAAGCGGCCACACAGTTTGAGAAGGCGGAAGTCTCGTCCGAATCTTCAACGACCTCTGAAACAGCATCTGAGAGCAGTGAGGAATCAGAAGAATCTGAAGAGGCAGACGAGTCCACCGCCACGTCTACAGAAGAAGAGTCGGCAAGCGAGAGCAGTACCTCATCGTCAAGAGAGACGGTCCTGAGAATAAATTCTTCAACGGCGCAGGGGGAGAAGCCATCAACCGAGAAAGACGACATGTAAGTTTTTTGGCAGTTTTTCCTCCGAAGACCTTTAGCTAACACTGGTATTTTCAGGGTCCAAGAGATCGCCGAAGAACCTCCAAAAGCTCTCTCGCCAACCAGCCTCTACCTCAAACAGCTTCGTGAGAAGATTCTCAAAGAACGAATGGAGAAAATTTAGAGCATATCCGAGAAAGGGACAAGGCGGAGTTAGGATATACGCGGGTGCGCATGCGCGTGGTTGCGATGCGTTCTCATCAACTTAGCTGTCAGCGGTCGTCATCTGTTTCTCTGAGCGGCTTTCAGAACCGACAAAAGTATTTAAATCTCAGTCTAGCAGGCAGATCATGTCTCCTAACAAATCCTGGCTTTCATGTAATTTATTTGATAACTATTTTGCAAATACTGGGATAAGTAAAACAAATAAGTGAAGTAAACAAAAACAATGACTCCTAAAGAATTCTTCTGACTTAGTATAAAAGCTGTGGATAGCTTCGAGAAAAACTGACATTTCGAGAGGTTTGGTACTTGTCCGTCTGCCTACTACTAACCGGGATGGGGCAGGGGAACATGCCTCATCCCGGACCGTGCCTTTAAGTCTGGCAATTATGACATGATCTCCGCTGAATCTCCTTGGTAAAATAAGGTATACATAGTGCCGAATAACGCCAACCATTTTGTTGTGATCAATGTTAGACAAAATGAACTGTTTTCTTGTTTTTCTTACGAAGCTGATGATTTTCGTCGTTTTACTATTCATAAGGAATCAGAAATATTATACCGCACATATTGTAAATCAACGATGAATAGCATAAATAGAGTTTATTAGCGCGAAAAAACCGGACATGCTCATGACGCACTGATCCACTTGTTTACGCTTCTCACAGTGCGACAAGCTCAACCATACGAAGCCCAAAAACACCGCTTCGACAATGATACTGACTTTGATGGGGGGGTCAAATGTGTGGCGCATCTCAAAATAGCCAATCATTGGGAAATCACCAGTCCATCACTGCCAGAAAGGGCAATTATTTTGATGAAAAAATTGGGACCGAAGTTATACGATGACCTTTCCTGAACTTCTTAAAGGCAAGAATCAGGATTAAATTGATGGGGTGATTCCACTCAAATGTGAAAGTAGGGGTGGAGGTGGACCGCCAGTGGAGAAAAAAGGAAGAAAATCCTGAAATACACAGGAAATATGAGCATTTTGCTCCATGCTGTGGAGATGTTCAAAATAGACAGGCGAGAGATTATGTGAGCGCGGAGAGTGGTAGAGAAGTCCGAGAAGAGAGAGCATAGCACATCGATCAACGTGGCGACGCAGACAAGATATCGAACGGTGGGCGGACCATGTTAAGTTTGGTGGAGTCTGTTAGAAGTCCATGGCGCCTAGGGTCCTAGTGACGCGTTTCGATGTAGAAAGGTGGCGCTACCTTTGCACTTGCGTACCCAGCACTTCTAGCCATGGTAAGGGCTTCTTAGGTGGGTCTGAGCCCGAACTTTGCCTTTAAGGAGCATTCGTATGCCCTTGACAAATCTTACTACAGCACAATTTACATCTTGCAACTTCTACACACATCTCCTATTCTTGGGCTCCTAGGAAATTTGCGTTTTTTGAGCGTTTCTCTTCGAGTTTCTTCCAAAAATGGTGCGTCGATTTCATTTGTTACGACTCTTCTCCTTTCAAAAATCACGAATACAACCTTCCTAGTTTGGAGGCAAGTTTCCACCTTCCCATTTTGTAAGAAGAGTGAGGGTACCCCCAGGAGGCCCGTCGCGCGACAAGAAGGCGAGTCAGCGGACGAGTTCCGCGCGTACTGTAGGGATTTCGCGTCAAGTTAAATAGAATGTTCCATTGTACGTCCTACATCGCTCACGCGCTGCGACTCGTCCGCGACTCTGCCTTCTTGCCGCGCGACGGGCCTCCTGGGGGGTACCGAGGCGTCAGTCGTAATTGATGTAACGGACTATGAAACGCATTCGCGCCAGAAAATATAGCCTTCAAACGTGCAAGGTTCAGGGCCTCAATCCCGGATCGGATCAATTCCAAGAAAACCGTCCTGCAATCCTCATGTGTCGCTGCATTCGTTCTGATATTCCTCTGAGTAAGATTAAATACCCAAACATGCACTTGTGTTGATACGCATAAGTAGCCTTTTTTTTGATTTCACAGAAATCTCTGCAAAATCCTAACTTTCCAGCACCCCTCATTTATACATTCGACGAGAAATTTATCTGCTCTATAAAAAATTTTTGATTTCGGCCTGCAAAATGGGAAATTAAGTCGACGAAAACTAGGCAAACCGTCAATTTGCTCTAACTCTATATTCCCAGGAGAAATCAATCAAGGATCTACCCTCTACTTAGTCGCGACCTCTTCTGAACTCTTAGCTATTCGATTGTTGAAAAACCCTGTCATGCCTCTTTTCGAGTTCAATTTTTCTGCTTGACCGCTGAGCCATGGCGGTTTTTGAATTGAAATTTTTTCTCTGAAGCTCCATTTTCTATCAACTGGTCTATCATTCGTAAGCGTTTTTCGGCTCTATACGTTCGTTTGTTTTAATTTTCATAAGGAATTAGATGGGGTTTCCTACGGCAAGGAGTTCAATTCACGAGAATGACCACATCAATCAGAAAAAAAAACTTTCAGAAGACGGTAAGACGAATTAGGAATTCGTGAACTCGAAGGCTTAGGTCATGCACTTGTTCTCAAACTACCTAGATTTCACGCTTCGACCATGAAAAAATATTTTAGGTCCAAATTTGACGCGACAGTGCATTAAAGCAACAGTCCCAGCAGGGTTTTCACCTTCAACACTAATGGTGTGGAACGATGCGCTAGCCCTAGTCAAGAACATAAGAAGTGTGACTGAACAAAAAACTCACCTTGGAAAGCTGCTAGAAAGGGAGCTGAACGGCTTTTGAAGTGGGCGTGGTTACTCAGTCGGCTGCAATTTCTGCCGACTTCCAACCACGCCCACCTTGAAGCCTGTTCAGATCCTTTTCCAGCGGCTTCCCAAGGTGAGTTTTTTGCTCAGTACACTACTGTTGCTTTAAGCATCGAGTTCTGATGGAAATCCCAAGTTCAAAAAAGAATTGCGCAACTTTTTGAAATACTACTAGCGCAATTTTGGAGGTCGTAGCTGACTAGAAGGTACGTCATTTTGATTTTCTCAGGTTTTCAGAGAAAAAAGTTAGAGCATGTTAATGGACTGCCTAATTTTTCGTAGACTAGACCTTCCATTTTGCAAGCCTGAGATTTGAAATCTCTTTCAATGAATGTGGAAACAATAGATAGCATCTTTCAGAAGACAGACAAATCTCTTTCGAATGGTTAATTCGGTTCGATTGTCCTTTTCAGAAAAAAAAAAAACGAAACACTGACCAGGGTGAATATCGGTCGAGAATTCCTCAACGGCACGTCGAGGATTTTCGCCTGATCAGTTACGTTCTCCCGCGCGGACATTCACACTCGCCATGCGCGAGCCGTCTGTGCTCTCCGCGCGTACGTTCACTCTCGGCACTACTCTCGCACAGTACAGAGCCATGGATTTCGTGGATGCT